ACATTGACATTCCTCAGCTGCACTGTATTGACATAGGCGTAAATCTGCGTAGAATTTAAATATATACATTTTAGAGTAAAAACTTGCAAACCTGTTTTTCTCACCAGATTCATGCAACCCTATTTTTATTTTCAACTTTACTAATTTTGTGGACCCGCGTCAAATCCCACGTGGCATATGTTAGACGCGAATAAATGCGTATTTATAGAAATAGTAACCGCGATTTTGTGCAACGTGATACACAACACGAGTGCGCTGATGTGCGTGGCCAGTATATGGCGTGATTAAAATCCGACTCCCGAATGGCTCACGCGGTTTGTGTCATGAAGCCGCTCAATATCTAAGCACAGAACAAAAAAAACACGACAGTTTTTCTTAGCCTGGCGTTATTCACGTAAACGCCGTTGTTGTGGTGGTTGTGTACAAAGCACGGCGTGTGCCTTTGAATTGCAGGACATCGCATCACCTAGGAGGTCACGGTTATTGCATCGAGTGTTTACCAACTGTGATTCAACATGTAACATGTATAAGAAAACTGCTAATGGGGGTCCCACAAGGCTGCCTGCTGTCCACACCGTGAAACTGGATTGCCTACTTTCTGCCGTACGACATGGGATCGGTACACCACCACACGCTGTGTTTTGGCCAAAGTTGCCATTACCTTAGGGCTTGCTGCGTCGTTTACGCTGCAGTATGGCGAGCAGTGGAGAGCAACTTTCACGGGTTAATGTTACAGAGCACTGAGGGATGGATCACTTCAGAGGCTTTGGCGTCCCAGTGCCACGTGCCATGTTCTCCTTATTTGTGTTTCGTCGGGGAGTAAAGTTGTTGTTGATATGTCAACGACAGGAATTACTGGGCATGTGCCCCCCCCCCCCAATATTCAAATTTGCTCAAAATCCCCCCCCAATATATTGCTATAAAATAGATTTCTGTTTATATGATTGTGGTTATGGTTGTACTTTATTAATCCCTAATCCAAACATGATGCCTTGAATAAAGGTGTCAGTTTTTGTGCCAGTTATAAGGGTAAAACCTATTCCTATATCTTGTTTCTGGCAAAGGAGGTCTCATAATGTAAATGCTCACCCCGAGCCCTCAATACTCTGATAGTGCGCTGTTTTTGAGTTGTACGCCTGTTGGTGTCTTCTGGTCCAACACCAATGGAGACTAGGCTCTAAGAAAAGCTGTCTCGGGTGTGGACCAATCAAATTCAAGGACAGTGCATATTATTATCAGAGTTGTCTTTTTTGTTTGCATTCTGACTGCTTGTGTTGTGGTTTTTGCAAACATGATGCCTTGAATAAAGGTGTCAGTTTTTGTGCCAGTTAAAAGGGTAAAACCTATTCCTATTTCCAATAAATAAAGAGTCCATCCCGTGTGTTAGTGAATTTTTTTTTATATTTTAGGCAGGAAATTCGTTTTCAAATTTAGATTTTTTTCTGGAATGGGGGGGGACCCCAGACCCCCTGGAAGATTTGGTCCCGCCCAATGTTGACTCCATGGCTACGCCCTGGCTTGGCATAACACGTGAAGGAATGACACAAGTAAGTGCACACGTTTTCCCATTGAAAATCGGTAAATTTCTAAATATCGCCGTCCTGGTCACAAAAGCAAAGTTTGTGGGGAATAATAGCCATTTTCTGTACTTTCGAGGCATAAGCAATTAGGAAATAACACTTACTACCCAGAAACAAAAACAGTGTTACAATGTGTTATTAATGGAGTGGATTATTAACTTTGCTTTTGTGTCCTGGTCACACAAGCAAAGTTTGTAGGGGAAAAATTGCAATTTTCTGAAGTCTTGAGGGATAAGGGATTCGAAAATATCACTACCCAGGAACAATTTTTGTTTGTTTGTTACACAGTGAATTATCAATGGAACGCAGGTTCTATTTAAAACTTCATGTGAAATGTGGGTTTTTTTTAACAGTACGGTATATGTATTTTGTATTGCTTAACATTTAGTACGACAGTATATGATGTTGTTGTGACATTATATCGCATGTGCACCATATTGCTTTATTGCTCCAAGCCCCCCTGGAAAACAAACCAGATACGTTTTATCTCCACGTTCTAAATGAAGGACATGGTACCTGGGGTCCCATTGTTCCCCCTTCATAGAACTCTCTTGGGGGAGGGGGGGGGGGTCATGCACCCACCCACCCCCGCGCAAGGCAGTGTGTGTACATGGACATGCGCAGCCTTGTGGTCGTCAATCTACTGCTGGATGAGGACCTCCCCACGCCGCGCAGGTCGCGAAACAAATGTTGCCCCTCTCTCATCACGCTGGTGAAGCCACGTGGAGGTGCGGGAGCACAGAAGTACAGCACAACGGTGACGCTCGTCTTTGCGGCTTTGGTTAAAGCAGACGCGCACAGTTGCGGGAGCGTACAAATTCAGCAGAAACGGTAACGCTTGGCTGTGCCACTTGGTGAAAGGAAGGCACGCGCAGACGTGGGAGCATAGAAGTACAGCACAACGGTGCTTGTTTCTGCGCTGTCCTCTGCTGTCTAGAACGTGGCTCTAACGCAGTGCAACGGGTCGTGAGCACGTTTATCAATATGGGGCAGTTATGTGCATAAACTAAAACACACACACCTATTCGTAGTTTGGTATTTAAAACCGTGCGTAGAAATACAACATTAAGAAAACGGTTCCATTTTGATACCGTTGTAATTCAAATGGGACGCCATGTAAATTCGTCAATTAATGTTAACGTGTTATTCAATTGTGCTGGGCCAATTTGGAACGAACGATAATTGGCCCTCGGCTCCAAGCCCCAACCAACTCGCACCTACTGACGTTGGTGAAGTATGGTCAAACAACGCCCCATGATCGGGGTGGGGAGGGGGGGTGAGAAGGGGCTTCATCCAGCAGTGAATTTTTATTCCTGAGGCCTGCTCGTTACTGATGGCGACCTACTTCAGGGAGTCCTTCATCCAACAGTGGATCGACCATGGCTGATGGAGCAATTGACGAACTGCCGAGCGCAATAACGGGACTTTGACCTAATACGCGAAATGAATTAGTCACTAAATACATTTTATTAATCGCCTTTAAATGGGGGGGGGGGCATGGAAAAACGCAAATGCGACACCCTCCCCGCCGCCCCACGTTGCAAGTCGCGCGATAATTTGCTCACTCCCACGTCAATCACCGTAATTAACGCTCAAGGGGAATCGGCCACGTCGGGCAGAAATGTGGACTTTCGCGTTTCCCCCACACCCCCCCTTTCCACTCTGGTCACAATCGGCAGGCGCATTGCATAAGCATCGGGGCTCGGCAGCTTTGCCAAGCCACGCTTTGTAAAGCTGTTGCAGATGATAGCCAATGCAGTGGGCGGGGGGGGAGTGTTTTTTTGGGGGGGGGGAGTGTTTTGGGGGGGGGATGGTTTGGGGGGGGTGTTTGGTGGGGCGAGTGTTTGGGGGGGCGAGTGTTTGGGGGGGCGAGTGTTTGGGGGGAGTGTTTGTGGGGGGGGGAGTGTTTGGGGGGGGAGTGTTTGGGGGGGGTGTTTTGGGGGGGGGGGGTGTTTTGGGGGGGGGGGGTGTTTTGGGGGGGCGAGTGTTTGGGGGGGCGAGTGTTTGGGGGGGCGAGTTTTTTTGAGTTGGAGTATTTTGGTGAAGATGGAAGAGTGTTTGGAGGGAGAGTGTTTGGGGGGGGGGGTGGAGAGTGTTTGGGAGGGAGAGTGTTTGGGAGGGAGAGTGTTTGGGAGGGAGAGTGTTTGGGGGGGTAGTTTTTGAATTCACCGCGTTGGGAGCTGTGGGGCCAGATCAGCACCCTCCCCGAGCCCTTAACAATCAGCCCCGCGTTCAGCAGCGGGGCGAAGCGCGAATTACTGCGCATTTAGACTTAGCAGTTTAAAAAAATACTCGAAATTGCCCAAATATATAAGTAAATATATAAATATATAAGTTAAAGCTTATATTCTACCTACGTGACTTTACCGAAATAACCAAATAGTATGGATTCCTGCAGTCACAAAAGCTTCAAATCAAGATAAAATCAAGATTAATGTGAATAAATGACCCAAATTTGCGCCAGAAATCGTCGAGAGCTCGGAACGCCAAGCAGGTTTTGAGCCTGGGTAAGTGTGTGGATGAATAACTAAAGTGGACAAGCATGCTTTCATAGGCTTGCGCGTCATGCATGTATGTTCGCATGTTAAACCTCTTTCGTGTATACGTGGTGGACAGTGCAGAATAAAATATACTGTGTTATACTCCACTTCTGTGTTCCCACGATTACGTTTCCTGCCTTCACCGGACACGCACCGACCAGCTGTGGTGAAGTATGGCTTAATCCCCCCCTCCCCCCGCCACAAACCCACACGACGTGCGGAGACTCTCATCCAGCAGTGGATGGAACAAAGGTCTGTACATGAACGTGTGTGTGAGACGTCCGAGACACGTGAATGCGAGCAACTTTCACAAATAAGCGGACGTCTTCCAAAACTTCAGCTGCGTCGATTTATTGGCGATTACAATTGCGTATCGCAAAGCAAACGTGGGGCACACGATGTTCGCTATGAAAAAAAAACATTATCATCACATCGTATTATACTCGACGAGCATTAAACCAACGTTGTTACAAAGTTAAAGTTATTGTAAAAACAAATAAATTGTTTTCCACGCGTCTCCAAATCGGCACTGAAATTATATTTTACAGAAATTTATCGGCGAGTTAGTGGATCGAGGCGTTGCAATTCCGTATCGGTTATTGGGGATGTTTGACCATACTTCACCAAGCTGGACAGGGGAGTCAGTGAAAATGTTGTGGGGTGGGTATAGGGGCAGGCCCCGGTGTATAGATCGCTCGCCACTGATGTGAGCCGTGACCGGTAATCGAACCCAGGTGGCCGGGTTAAATAACGCAGCGAGGGCCGCTTTAACAGCAACTACAATCGGTAAAAGAACGACGAACTCTGATGATGAATACCCCTAAACACCGCCTCTAGCGATACTCTTGCGTTGTTGTGTGGACAACTTACGGCCACTTACCTGTTGAGTGCGAATTGCGAATAAATGATTGTCAGAGCAGAGGATGACGAAGCAGAAGCAGCAGCAGCGGCGGCAGCAGCAGCACGTATCCAAATCGGAGTTGAGATGGGCTGAGGGAAGAGGAGGCTTTTTGGTCTCATTAAATCCGCTACGTGGGTGTGTCAATTACGTAATATTGGGAACGCCACCCATTGGCCGGTGTGGATGCGGCAGGCAGCAGCGGCAGCAGCACGTGTCCAAATCGGAGGAGTTGAGATGGGCTGAAGGAAGAGGAGGCTTTTGGGTCTCGTTAGATCCGCTACGTGGGTGTGTCAATTACGTAATATTGGGAACGCCACCCATTGGCCGGTGTGGATGCGGCAGGCACGCACGCTTTGTGAACGGGTAGTGGAGGCACGCGTGTAATAAGGTCAACCACCTGTCCCAGTGGTCTCTTATTTCCAATGGGGGGGGAGGGTGTGTTAGTCCGCGGCATTTAACGTGAAAGGGCACCCGCATATAGCGACGGAGCACACAGCACCACATCTAAAAGTTTTGTTGTTGTTGAAACTAAATATGCACCGTGATATTTCCACCGTTTACATCTGCGGCGTGCCGTGTGTTGAATTTCTTTCGCGCCGTGCGTAGCCAACAGTGCCGAATCGAGGGGAGGTGGACGGCGAACGAAGGAGACGGAACGATGAAATTAATTCGCGTCCGTGTGCTAGATCGATATATATATCACGGCTGGTTTTTTAAAACACCGCTTGAATGCTCAACTTATTTTACATCGATCCCAAAATGACCCTTACCTTCTGAAAGCGTCACTGAACGTTGCTCAAATGTTTCAATCGGAAAGTATTGTGCAGTATATGACATACGCGTAGATTAGTGGCTCGTGACATGACATCAACTCGAAATCAACCCTGTACCAGCATGACCTTGTTTATTGTTAATTATATGTATTTAAGGAAAGCGATTAAGGCATCTATAAGCCACCACGAGACTGATTCTCACGATGTTCAAGATATGCTGGAAAGCTGACATTTGGGGAAAAACAATCATCCGGAACTTCATGTCTATGACTTTTGACTTAAAACTTCCTTGACTGCAGGAATTCTGCAGAAAAAAACAAAAATACAATTAATGTAATTTTTTTGTTTTCTATCTACCAGACTTTACCGAAAGAACCAAGAATGTCTATGACTATCACATCCTGATTTTTTTTTATTTGGGCCATCAAACAATTACAGGCCGATTGACTTTACTTTCAGAGCAGGTTTTTGCCTCAAAAGTTAATCTCCCGTCTTGTGCTCAACACTTGGATATACGACGGAATCCGTCATTCACCTTCCACGGAGCGTGTGGGGGTGACAGAGCAAAACAAAAGCGGCCGTGGTTTCACTACCACTTACCAGCGTAACATCCAATCGGTAATCACTGCCGTGCATACGGCACCTGATATTATTAAATATCAAGTGTTGAATAAGGCTCCGCATGAATCTAAGCATGAAGCACAACGTATGCATCACTGACAATAAAAATGGAATGAAAGCTGAATAGTGCGCAAAGAATCGTGGGGAGAAGCACCCCTTCGAATGAAATTGAAACGGAAAGGGCACATTAATCGAGGCACAGACCAAAACCAGACGGCAGATTGTAAACGAACAGGGGGCTTCGCCAGGATGATGCACTGCTTAGGGTGATGACTGCTGATGGAATGGCAGCCAAAGGAGATAGTGGAGAACCAGCGTTTAGACTGAGCTATGAGATTAGTAAATGTGTAGTAGGCATGAGATGGATTGTGGCAATTCAAGAGCCATTCATAACAGCAAAAGGCGGCCTTCATTCCACAGTATAGACAATGGATTATGATGCTATTCAAATTTAAAAGCATATTTGAGGGTTTTTTTTACTGGACTGACTGGATAATGGCCGAGTGATTTAATTGAAATCCCTGGGATGTATGTATGTTGAACTTCTTTCGCACCATAAGTAGCCAACCGTGCTAATCGGAGGTGAATGAAAGCTGATATTGGAAAAGCAAATAGTGCAATAACACATTCCTGCGGAGAGAGCTGTTAGGAACGTTGGGTTGCTCGGTCAATGGCCAGGGTCAACGGCGGCACCACGTGGTGTATTCCGCAAATATGCCCGACTGTGAGGGCGGGCACAAGCCGGCGTAAGTAGGTGAAACATTGAGTTTTATAAGGGCACCACGGGGTGACCAGCCCCTCCCCACCCAGCCCCACCCAGCCCCTCCCCACCCAGCCCCACCCTCCCCATCCAGCCCCTCCCTCCCCACCCTCTCCACCCTCCCCACCCTCTCCACCCAGCCCCACCCCTCCCATTTTTGGATGCAACGACGGACGGATACAATAATCCCCTGTGGGCTGGTGTAACCAGGAGGTTCCTACCAGTAAAACATTCTTTACAATTCTATATTTTACAAGGCAGTCGTAACTCTTTTTAAAGCACTACAAAGCCATAGACAAAACCAGTTGACAGCATTTTCACAACACAGTTTACTCGCTTGTCAACATCTCGTGCGTACACAATCCCGCAATACTTTTACATCACGTAGATACAGCACTGTATACCTTATGCAGTCGACACAATGATCAAACGGATGTTAATAGGATCCACCAAATGTCAATAATATACACCGGGCATGACTTAGGGAAGGAATTAAAAAAAGGGGTAAATATTTATCAAAATCATGTAAAGTTTTAACATTAAAAAAGCACTCGTTACAATCCACCCTACAATCCACCAGTGTTTTGAGTGTAAACTAGCCCCATGGTCGTGCCGACCAACATGACGTGGCATTTTCTACATCCCCAATGCGTCTCTTGTTCTCACCATAAACATTTACACCACGTTACCATGGCACGAGAACACATTCGTGAATGACAACTATCTTAGTGCATTCTCTGGAAGCAAAAAAAGAATAAATAATTTAGGGTGGTGCTTTGTCAGTCCATTTCGAGATGAAAGCCAAACCCACACCCTGCCGATTGGGGTGCCAAAGAAAGGTTCAGATTCCATTCGCCACCGGTTGTTGTTTTTGTGGCTGGAAATCGAATTTGGGTCACTAGGTTTGTTGAGCAGTGCGCCAATCACTGCAGCACTGCTCCGATAAACTAGTATCTCCAGTAACCAACTCGTATCTACTGAAACAATAACCCATACTTGTTTTTACATTAGCGAAATAAAACATAACTGGTCACGATTTGCCCATGATTGTGAGATTTAATTAATCATAAGAGTAAAAAAAAAACATTTCAACTGGAGTCTCAAACTCTTGATTCAACAAAGAGTAATGAATAACAGCAAAACAATTTATAGTTGCACGTGAAAAATAAAGACTGTTGGAAGCTGAACGCAGGACAAGAACATTGCATATTATGGAGAAGACACCAGCTTGCAGATCGTGTGTACACATATGAATGGCATGACAGCAGGAATATTACGGATATAGATTGGTAAACAACATTGAGGATGTCGGTCTCCGCTTCCATGTCATGTGCTTAGTTGCTGACGCTCGCATGAGCAACAATGAGCGACGAGACCTCCACCACAGAGAGTGCACTGCAAATATTGCAGACACCAAAAATGCGTGAGACACTCAAAGACGACGAACAATAACAGGGCAGGAACAAACATTGCCAGCGATAGCAATGACTTGCCCACAGAGGACGGTAACTGGTTTTTACGGGAATGATTAGTGGGCGAACACAGCACGAGTTAGATTATTCATGCGACGAGAAAACATCGCTTTATTTCAACACAAAATAACAAATAGGAACAGTGAAGTCACATACTTGAACTCGAGGACACGTTGGACGATTATAGATTGAAACTAGCGGATTGCTAATTTTTGTCTGTCTTCTACATGGGTACCTGGAAGATATTTTTAATGAGTACAGGATGTTACATCCTCTCCTGGTGACTACCCTCAAATCGCTCCCAACAAACGAGCAACACTAGTATTTGCAATGCTTTATGATTGTGGAATGTGGAACCTTCCAAGCCTGCTCAATGAGTAATATCCAGGCAACATTTACCGCCACGGGGAGGACTTCGAAGCACTCCGGGTGTATATATGGAGCATGTAGCTCATTAAACTGGTGAACGTTTCATTGTTCAATACCAGGAACATGGCCCCGAGGTCAACTAGAGCGTGGCTCCATCAACTCCATTGCCCACCGAACCACTCGTCATTCTCGTCGTCCATTCTTTGGTGCACCATGACGCAAAATTAGCCGTCGATTGCCAGGTCGGCCTTCACTACCACCTTCGTTGAGTTACCAATTGGCTGTGTACGGTGCAAAATACGTTTTGTTTTGGGGAGTGAGAGGACGATCCAAAATTGTGTTCCAACTGCTGGGAGTGCTAGAGGGTTGCACGCTCATCCATTTTGTGACCACGTGTAAACACATTCAAGATCCGTTTCCCCGATACAATTGGGTTACACGCTGACCGTGCATTGGGATACCACCCCAACTTGATGCAAGCTCTTTTCACGTCAGAGGAAACTACTGCACCGTCCATTGGAAGCATCCAACAAAATGTGACCACATATTTACATGTTCTGGCGAGACGCATCAAACTTTGAAGTTGCTCCATAGAATGAGGGCTGTGCTCGTTTCTGTGCAAGCGATGAAGAGTATGCCAGTGTGACTGGACGTCATATACGACCAGCAAAAAAACAATGTCAGAAAAAAGTATTTGAACACATCTGCGTGAATGACTTACTGCAGACAGGAGAGCATTGGCTCGTGGACAGGATACTCAACGATACGAGCAACAACACAATGGCAGTGCTGTGGCAATATTCTGAGTAAATATCTGGAACATTGGCTATCATTGGCGCTCATTGGACTGAGCAAAGTGCATTGCCTGGCTTGCCTAGTATTGACGGCTCTCCTACAACCACGCAAAACTCAATGAGGCTTTAATGTCCTTACAAATGGACTAAAGTGGCATGTGTTCGCCGATTCACATGTTGTTCCATGTGGAAAACGCACAGAAGATGCAAGGTTGGTAATAGCAACAATGGCAAAGGTGACTGAAGAATGTTTTAAATCTGTGCTTATTACCTGCTATGACAGATAAGATCATAAAATACGGACACTGAAGAAATACAACAGAATCCCAAAAGTGCACAAGGCATGGAGAGATACGTGCTTGGAATTAAAATTTAAAATTCTAAACTAAACTATTTTTTTATTTTACCAGGTAAGGCCCACTAAACTACTTAGCTCATCTTCAGAAGAGTCCTGGCCACAATTGATAGGTCAAAGAAAGTGGCTTATCATGTGGAAATGTATAGCACCCAAGTCGTCTAAACGCACGTCGATTCTAAATGTGGAGGGTCAAAAACTGGAAGACCTGGAGAAAAATCCACGCGACCTAGGGGAGAACATGCACTCTCCAAATGTACAGGTGTCAGGGTCGGGATCGAACCCACGTGCTGTACACCAGGCGAGGTAGTTAACATCTCGCCACCGTGGCGCCCAAACTGCACTGACAGAAAGATTAACTCGTGCATCCGAGCATAGACGCAGGTTAGACTTCCTTTTCACTGTGAACGAAAGTGGGCTTGGAGAGGACACACCGCCCGAAGGGATCATGGCCAATGGACGAGAATGGTAACAGAACAGCAGCTCGTAGAACACACATCTGAGAATAGAGCAACGCCTAAATGCAGTGGCATTTGCCTATGTTGGCATCGTAAGACCTGTGGTGCATGGGGAGGTCATTAGCCAGCGGTGAATAGCCCATAGCCGATGAATAAAATATTACTTTTTTTTTAAGTAAACATGGAGAGACTGGTAATCTCCATGTGTTGTTGTTATATGTCCTAATTGCTTATTATTCCCTTAAAAAAAAAACATTTATCCTGTGCACCAGGAATAGGCTTCTGGCACACATCACAACTCCAAATATATAGGTTATCTGAATGTCTACGACTCTGATGTGTTCATGTCATGATAACTTTCGAAAGCCACTGCAGCCAGTAGTTCAGTCTGGCCTGTTTGTTCTGTGGGTAATAATTATTTATACTGCATCCAAAAACAGGATATTTAACTGAAGCCGTCAGGATCCGACCAGAATCAAGCTCCCTACACGACCTAAGTCGGAAATGCGGCTAAGACAGGCCAATAAGACTACTGTTTTAGAGAGGGTGTCACTGACTGCAATTGAGAACCATTGTACTGAAAGGACCCCTCGTGAAGCAGAGATGATCGATTGGGCAGGGCTCCAGCTGCGCTATTTTCCAATGAACAACGTCCAGAGAAGGCCCGCGTAGCAGAGCGAGGGTCAACAGGAGAGGCAAATAAACAGGGCACTTCCTGCTTCTGCTCCCAATGACCCCACTCCACCATGGCGCACGCTGGACTAGCATTCCTTTTTGTGACTAACTTCAGTGGTTCTCCATTATTTTACAAAACATTTTTTTTTATCGTGTTAAACACATCACTTAAGAAATATATTTACAACAATAAATGATAACAGCCTCATGACGAAGAAGCGGATGCAGGCTCAATTATCCTTCGAATTTACAACCGGTGCAATGGTTGTAGTGTTAATCCAGAAACCAAAAAATGCCCGCAGCAAATACTGTCTGAGGCAATACAAATAAAATGTAAAACCCAGCTGTTCGTAATAAGACCTCAACAATTTACCTCAAACTTTTGCTCCAATTTCTGCAACTACAAAACATTTGAACCTTATGGCGCTACCCCGGGGTAGCATAGTACCCCAGCTCTCGCACAATGTCCGTGATGCAGTCATTTTTAGTCTGTTGATGGTCGGCGTTGCGGCAATCGACTCATCTCGACGAGCTGTACACGATGTACCACCACGGTGCCCACGAGCGTTCAGGGTTTCAGCGCGATCGCCCTCGCTGCGTTTCCACCTCGCAGAGTAGCACCACCGATTTCAGCTTGATTGGTAACCCCAGTCGCGGAGTTAAGTAACACCCCCTGGAAAAAAAAAGTGTCCCAGAAATAAAATATTTAATTGCCTCGGCCATTTTGTATTATTTGGTACCCCAGGGTAACCGCCATAAGGATCATTTAAGAATCCCATTGATATGTAAAATGACAAACCTAAATATTACAGTGGAAACTTTCATTCATAACTATTATAATTTGCCTTTTGTTTAGTGTATTTGCCTGTAAATACAATAACGGTCTTTCCTTCTGGACTGCATAAAGTGCAATGGCCCTGTGTTTTGGTATCATCACATTTATCTTAAAAATCCCTGAAAGTCCACTTAGTCTTCAATATTCAGCATAGAACAAAGTTTAACCAATTTATTCTTTCCACCGACTTTCTTGGGAACTTTAATTTCTCCATATGTGAAGCAACTTTATTTGAAACCATGTTGACCCATCTATTTCTCAGACAAGCCTTTTACAGAATTCCAAAATTGAGATATGCAAACACTAATCTTGCATGCTATTAACTATTAGGCGCCAAAGCAGGGAATTATACGTCCACAAGGCACGAGCTCAAATCTTCCTGCTCTGAACACCGCGTTGTGTCTGTTGCCGGTCGGCTCTCACTTCGCCATGCTGTTGAGAACACCCTGGATATGCAAGGAATACCCTCAGGGGGCGAGTGGCCAGTCGCATTGCCACCGACGCAGCAGAGGGACCAGCGAGAAGGAAATGCACATATATGGGGCTCGGGGGCCCAGACGCAATTTAAGCCCTTGCCGTTCCGAGCCGTCCGCGGGTTGCAGGGTGCGCCCTGTTCACCGCCGCATCTTGGAACGTGCAAACGGCTCAGCGTTAATTTTGCTTAGAGGTGTAGCGCCGTTGTTTTTTTACAGACATTGTACTTACCGCAGAGAACTGTAGCGACACGACCGCACTTAACAATAGCTGGTGCCAAACTGTGCCACACGCCATCCCCCCCCCCCCCATGGCCTTGTGGGAGCCTCGTTACGTCTTCCGACCTGAAGATGGTACCCCGATAATGACATTTTCCTCCGATTCCGTTTGTACGCGTTCGAATGTAATCGTACGTGTACGAACAGAAGAAAAACTGATGACGTACAAGCAAAGCCAATTTTACACAGCACCCTGGTGCGTGCGAGGACAGGAGGCTTGCTTCTGCGAGTGGTTTACTGGCCCCTCGACGCTCGGCCCAATGTTGCACAGAGCGGGCGAGGTCACTGCTCTCCATTGGGGGGGTCGCGGGCCGTCTCGAGCGAGGCCAGCTCATCCTTCAGACTGCTCACGCGAGCCTGCAGCTCCTTGTGGCGTGCGGCGATGAGCACCACCTCATCCCAGGCTTCCTGCACACACTTGAAGCTTTGGTTCCAGCGCAGGAACACACCTAGGGTGGCGATGCAGCACATCGCACAATCAAGAGCGGGGAGGAAGAGGACACTTCACACCGGTGTATGTACGGCCAGTTACCAAAATCAACCATTTCATTAATCGTTGATTACTTTAGCGCCATTTGGACCACATAGGTCCTGTCCAGCTTAGCACAGTAGGAGTAAGCCCTGAGAATAATGGAATAAAGGAGAGTGATAAAATTCCCAAATTGGAAATGTATTCACAAATTCCTAATCACTTTCATGGGTAAAACCACGTAGCAAAATTGTCCCCCTACTGCCAGACGATATCCTTTGTTATAGCATTGTGCTCTAAGAATGGCATGAATTCAAAATTAATTAAATTATTATTTAAAAAACACAACATTTTATTATAACCAAAGCGCACGTGCCATGTGCTGTTTTACATTGTCGCAGCAGTCGCAACTGGTGCTCATTAAATGGAGAAAAGAGCCACAACCTCTCTCTTAGATTGACAGTATGAATACACGTGGGGGAGGAAAGGTGTTTGACTGGAGATATATTTGTTTACCTTCCCAGAGCACCAGGCTCTGCGGCGCGACTGACGGCCAAATGGCCAGGTTGTTGGGCTCGTACAGCGGGTTGAGGTACTGCTCCATCACCTCCGGCCTGTTCACCCACGACCACATTGACACTGTCTTTTGCTGCACCTTCATCTTCATTCTCTCGAGCTCACTGTTGCACAGGAAGGTGCCAAACTGAGAGGCGTAGGCGTGTTCAAACAGGAGGACGAGGAAACGCTCGCCAAACTCGAAGGAGCACGGGAACTGCCGTTGGATTTGTTGGCAGCAGTCGAGGAACAGCAGGAAGGAGGGCGCCTCCTGCCGTGGCTTGACGTTGGCGAACGCGGAGCGGCTGCACCTCTCCTGGAAAGGGTGGCCTGCCTGTTATGGGGGTTGGGAGAGAGAGAGAGATTAACATGGCTAGAGCACCAACTAGCCAACAATTAGTGAACTAGAAGTGGTGCAGCCCTGCGGTCGCTTGCTCACGCCACTGCTGGCACGCAAAGGGCCTCCCCCCCACGACAGCAAGGTCTGTTTTCGAAAGTATTTGGGCTACTCTTTCACACTGGCTAGACATGTCAGACGAGGGTGTGAGTACCCTTACTCTACTCGACCTCACGCGACCCGCCGATTGTTTTGACTGCGGTCAATGGCGGAGCCAGTGGGGGTGGCACGTGCCCCTCCAATGATCCGATCGAAATCCCTAATTTCGATCGGATCATGAGGGTTTATTAGTGATAAATCGGCATTTTGCGACCCCCACTGCCACTGTACAGCATATTATTACGTGCCAGAGACTCTATGAGATGATAGGACAATAGTCCGAGTCAATGGCAAAGCAGTTATAAGTGACTCAGAATTGTGCGCAGTTGCGTATACAGTACACGACTTCCCTGAAGACATTCACCTTCAGCGAGCGCAATGCTGATCACACACGGTTCGAATTCGACCCTCGATCGATGGCTGTGCCATCGCCACACACGCGTCGAATACAAAGCAAGAGACAAGTCCTTACTTACTAATAACTCATAATATTTTTCATGACTGGAGGGGTTGCCCCCCCCTACCTGAAAATCCTGGCTCCGCCATTGACTGCGGTGTACACATATCCTGCTGGGCGGGCAGAGGTCGGGGGGGTATGTAAGAAAACTGCATCATTGTTTCAATGCTGAACCCTCTAAGAACCCGTCTGAAATCCCAGAAACCAATGTGGGATCGCGCAAGACAATTGGATGACGCGGGGTCAACTGAAGACTGCTGGTGAACACTTTGGAGTTCTGCGGAGGCTTCAAATCAAAGCCTCATCGACGACTCCACCATCGCGCCGCACGGCTTTGATCTTCCAAGGGAACTATCGTGCTCCATCAACCACTTGAGAACATCAACTGGTCGCAGCGCACACACCTCTCCTCCACAAGTGGAGAATTAAAGAAAACCTATAAGTGTGACTGCGGCCACCCAAACCATACAATGGAACCCGTATCATGAACAACTGCATCCTACTCTCCCGCGCTCTCCGGCGTACTGAGCAGCATTAGTCGCCCAACTCCCCAAGCTGTCGCACGCCTTCACAGACTTAAAACTTGGACGTGTGATTTGCACATGCTTGCCGCACGCGAGAGATTGTTTTCAACGGAAGCGTCAGAAGATCGCGTTGAACCGGTGACCTCTAGGTTGCAAGACCAGTGTGTGCTACCGATTACACCACAGCAGCATCAAGATGAATTCAAATGTTTAAACATACATAGTTAATGCTATGTCCATATATGCGCATGAAAACAATGCAAATGAAATCCGAGATGCTTTTGAATATTCATAACAAAACATTTTTTTAAGGTACCTTCGAAATAACGTTTTCGTGCACAGACAACAGGCAGTCAAATGCAGTAAGTGCTGACTGCTACTTTGTTATATAATCCGTCTCTTCTGTTACTTGTGTGTGTGCGCAACTCAATACGGTATCATCATCGTAATTCGCATGGCATCCGGAAATCAATCTGACAACATGAGCACACGATACAACTCTACACAATGCATACCTAACACAAGGCAGACTTGCAGACCATCCTGTGACATTTTCCTGCTTGGCCTTCCTACATTAAATATTCAATACACAATTTGCAGAAATGGGCTCTGCACATCATCCAAATGCATTCATCCTTTCTCCAAACAGATAAATCTGTATGGAGAAAATTATATTTCTATCTCCTGTCACTGTTCTGAATGGGTTTCCCCCAGGTCCTCCAGTTTCCTCCCATTGCCAAAAAACGCACACACAGTACTTGGCCATACATCCCTATGAAGCCTTCAGACTGTGTGACTTTCCTGGGTAAATAAGTGATTATTGTATTATTTTCACAATATCACTGCAAACCGGAAATACTCCTTGCGCACGTGCGTGGGTGCGTGACGAATGCGCGTCAGGGTGTGGAATCGACTCAGTACCTGCAGCCATTCGCGCTCCACCAGCGCCTGGAAGCCACGCAGGGTGCGGCAGTCCTGATCGAGGATCACTTGGGCCAGGGCACTGACTTGTAGAGTGGAGTCTGTGCCATCGGAGCCGTGCACCAACACAGAGGCACCCTCCCTGGTACGTGCACCAAAAGGAAGCGGCCAACAATCGTCAGATCACAGGAAAGAATTCAGGGAAATGTATTTATTTTTGTCCCCCCGGGTAAGCCCCACCAAGCTATATAGTTCATTTTCAGAAGCAACCTGGCCACAAATCGTAGCCCAACGAAGTGGCTAATCATGCGGAAATTTATAGCAGCAGCCAAACACTTGGAACGCACGTTTCTAAATACTCTCTGGTTCTTTCGGTAAAGTCACGTAGGTAGAAATAAATTAAATAAAACAAATCACGACGTTTCGATCGCAACACAAGCAATCTTCATCGGGTGGAACAACCACAGCAAGAAAATTCTGAAGTAGGCGTTTCTAAATGTGGAGGGGAAAATCGGAGGAGCAGGTGACACAGAATTGTGTTGTATAACAAGACCTCTTTTGTAAGTGCGACTCGAGGAGAAGAAATAATAGTAATATTAAATTAATTTATACAGAATACAGTAGCTTTGCTGAGCTTCAATACTTTTTCATGTGGGTCCTGCCGTGACATGTTTGTACCAATCCAACTTCAATCTGTTGCATATATCAGCGAACGAGGTGGTGGGTGGCCAGCACCACGCCCGGCTGCCTTTGTCCCCCCAGTGGCGATGTTCACACACCACAGCAGTTACTCGTTTGAGGCTGAGTCGAACTAGGGGAGGCCCAGGACCGGTTCAAATAATCGTCACCGGTGGTGGCCGTGAGCGGGAATCGAACGTGGGTCGCGCGCTAACCACTACACTACAATGCGTTAAGCTTCCACGTGCGCGGGTCACGTGACAGATTTGAGGTCACAGCTCACTTGCCGTGCAAAAAATATATGCATTATTGAGCTCTCCCCCCCCCCCCCCCAAAAAAAAATATACAAAAGTGTAATTTTATAATTTTTACATGGTGGACAGTGTGGAAAGTACCCACATGGCAAATTTCAAGTGTGTTGCATGTCGGGAAGTACGCTAAACATTTTGAACAGACACACATAATCACAACTTTGCCTTTATATATATGGAGATAACATTCAAACACCCACACAGACTAGTTCACAACCCACTCTTCTCTGCATTGCCAACCCATGGCTTTCTCACAGCGCAGCAGCCTTTGGGAGCTTTGTAAACCTGCACAAACCATCAACAAATGCCGGAAAATCAATTGATTGCACTTGTGCATCGCCACGTTTGTATCAAATCCTTTAGACAGCCATACATTTCCTCTTCTGAGAGATAAACGAGTATTTTCGCATTGTGATAAAATGAAAAGCACGTAAGTGTGCTATTAATACCAAACAAATATACTGATAAGTGCAAGCACTGCACTTTAAGGTGTCAGTGATAAATCAAAGTCTGTATGTACATGTACGATCAGTTTTACAAAATATTCTCACGTAGAAATATTGCCAAAATGCCGCCTATAAACACAACAGATTAAAATTAGGAATGCTGCCGACACATTTGACATAGTTGTTCAGTGTTTTTTTTACAAACACATTTTTCAGCAAATTGTGAGGGGAAAAAATTGATTCAGAAATAGTTTCAAGTGACCAATGGTGATGTCTAAAATGTTTTTTAAAGATACCTTTTTTGGAAATTTACTTTAACCTGAATGACAACCTCACATTCATCAATAACACTGCCTTAAAGGAGAAGTATACAACACTTGGCGTTGGGCTATGCAGAATGGTCATTACCAGAAACATCGTCTAGGACATACTGCCTTAAAATGAAAAGTATGATTACCAAATGTGTTGAGTTTGTGTGACATGTGCACTACTGCACAACACAGTATCACCAAATACATTCGTTTACAATGAACGGTTAATGAATGCTGCCTACATTTTAGCAAAGCAAATCAATGAGACAAGAAATATGTCCCGTTTTTCGAGTAATCACACAATGCCCCCTGCTGGACAGACCGTAAAATGCTCTAAATGCGATCATGTTATGGTGACGTGGATTGCACCCATTCCCATTTAATGTGCTTCATAACACTGAGCAATTATCTATTTTTTCAGAAGCGACCTGGCCAACAGATGATAGCTCAACGAAGTTGCTTATCATCATACGGAAATTTAAAGCAGCCAAATACTCTAAACACGTGATGTTGATTCTAAATGTGGAGGGGTAAAAACCTAAGAGACCCGGAGAAAGATCCACGCTTCCACGAGGACAGCGGCAGCCGAGGCATCATGGAATGCGTCCGACAGGATGGTGCCACCTGGGAGATGGAGCAATGAAATCGGGTCGTTGTGCATGGGGCTGGCTGGCTTTGACACGAAGTGTGCCTCGCTTGGTATATTGGTCATAGATTCGATCCCTACCCTGACGAGGAGCAGGGAATGGCACGAGAAAGTCAAAGGGTCCTGCCAAATGGTGGAGTTTAAATCTGTTGAGAAATGCCCCGTGTAAAATGTAGAGAGTTGTACAGCTTGCAATGAAAATAAATTTGTGTACATTAATTCAATAACATATCTGTTTCCTATGTTGGCCCCATGTCAAATAAAATGGTATACCTCTGTATACCATTCATGTAACATACAGGAATTGCTACAAGTAATTCAGCCACTTGAAAACAGACATACCCAAGATACTTGTTACAACTCGGCATGTAATGATTCACTAATTAAAAGTGATTGTTATGCGCATGACATATATACTGAATTTCTTACATACGAATTCATTAACAATGTATGTAAATTGTACCATTTGGCTTACGTAACAAGACAGAACAATCGAAACATGACAAATGAGACACCACAAATCAGCCAAAGGTGCACCTCCGATTTGCACGGTTGGCTATGTGTGGTGCGAAATAAGTTCTACATCTATATACATACATACAAGGATAATATAATTGCCGAATACATTCCTTATCGCCCAGTGACAATACACTGGCCGAGGTACATCCCACTAAAAACACACACATCGACGCTCTTAATCACTCGAGGGCTTTATCAGTCAATTTGTATTATATCCAAGCACCTGTCAAGACACTGTGCTGCCAAACAGGCGGCGGTGAGGATGTCTTTGATGTGGCCAAGCCAGTTTGACGCCTCCAGTTTGCTGAGCCAGCGGTCCATGTTATGCGAGGGATCATTGCAGGCCTCCACCAGTTTGATGAAACTGTCCTGCATAAGATTGTACCTGACAGCAGTAACAACACCAGAACATTGTCGCTCAAAGTTAAATCATTCCAATTTTCAATTCTCATGTAAAAGCCAACCCCAAAGCACATTCAATCTGAAAAGTATGACGAACTGTTTGAATATTTTATTCTGAAAAAATGGTAAAATTGTGCATCAGAATAACAACTATGTGATATCCCAAAATGCACAAGTTCAATGCATTCTAATTTTGACCACTGACAAATTGCGGTGACCCAGTGTTATAGCAAAAGACAATCAGCTAAAATGGCTGCACTTCCCATCCGTAAAAAATACAATAAGATAATGTCGTGCACTAGTCTTAATGTTTTCTGCTTAAAATACGTAGAAGTTACTGAGTAACTGTATTGTCTATATATATCTACAAGTAGGTATGCTGTAACACTTATACATAATTTCACATTCCTTGTGCAGTGTTTTCATCTAAAAAAAGTTTTGCTGGCTGGACTCATTCTTGCCTGGCTGGATTACTGGCTGGCTGGATTTCTGGTGCACGGTCCACACTTAGTGTCTCTGAGTCAGTCACTACACTAGTAATCAGTGCTACTAATCAGTAGTACTGAGAATCACCACAGATATTAGACGAGGCCGGTGAATCAAACTCAGGCCGCCATGGTCGTAGTGCAGCGTGTTAATCACCACGCCACCAGTACCCTCCCCCCCCCCCAGACAACAGAGAAAACAGAGGCACGTGAGTGTGTGTGGTGCACTGTCTGACCTCTCAATAGACTTGTTGATGCGGCGCCACTGTGGGTAGTGTGCCTCGGGCTCATAGCCGCCCCCCTTGGCACGGGCCTGCTGGGCGATGTGCAGGGAGCGCGTATCGATGATGTAGCCACGCTTGCCGGGCCCCAGCACGGCGTTCACCAGCTTCTCATCGTCTTTGCAGCGCTTCCCACCCGAGCCCGTCAGCGGCTGGCTGCAGCGCATCATCACCTGCGGACGGTTTGCGTAACGAAGCGCGTTTTGTAAACCGTGACCTTTGTGAAGGTCTTGTTAAGTGCTCACTGTGCGGGACATGCATCTTCATGCAATCCGTTACAGGGAAAAGCCTCTTTAATCACCCCACCATTTTCTTTTCTATTTTATTATCAATGGTTATGTTTAGGTATTTAAAAAAATTAGTACCTCTCAAGTGGCAGCAGATTCTTCACCTCCTACCCCCATCAACAACCTCAAACATGCTACAGAATGCCGCTGCTAGACTTAACACGCACAAAACATGACCCACATCACCCGATCCCTCCACCAGCTCCCAATCCAATCCCAGATAATATTCAACATTGCACTCGCAAACTTAAAAATTGTCCACAGCCTCACCCCTGTCTAACTCTCTCATCTCACTTTGCTCCCGTCTGTCCACTTGCCACTCCAGCAACCAAGGCCTTCATTAAAAACCTCCATTCAGAAGTGGAGGAAAATTCATCCTACTACCGACATATTTCCATGGATTGTCGACCGTCTAACAAGAGTAATTTCTTGTAACCAATAGCAACCTCAACATCAAGTCCAAGTTTATTTGCTTAACCACGTAAGGACTCAAGAGATGAAAATAGTCTCATTTTCAAGCATGATGTGGGTCACCACATGACATGGACAAGAGTTTCCCGGGATTCAGTTGTAATAATGTTATCGTGTAGATCTGAAGGACATATGAGCATGTAAACATGGATCTGTATAAAACATAAATCACGTGAAAAAATACATTCAGATTACAGACTCTGAGATGCCATATATTCTTTACAAAGGGAACCTCAGATACGTGCCAGGACTCAAACCCAGTCAGGACCCCTGCATGGAAGCACCATTCACGGACAGAGTAAAGTGTCTGCTTCAAAATGTGTCCAAGCTTAACGTAAGTATATATTTTGGAATGCAATCTGTATTTCACAGTAATCTAAGCCATACCGAGTGAGCTGCTGATATACGTTTTCATGTTGGTGCTTGCAGAAGAAACCAAAAGAGGCAATGACGTTCAACTTGTTTTTCTTGTAAATTAAGCATACAAGTAAGCTTTACGGCATGAACTGGAGTGACATGCGACATTCAGATATATCGTTAAAGTGTGAAGGCATTCTGAATAAAAATTAGTCCCTCCATTGATCACCCTGCACATCTCCCATTGGCATGCGTAGAAAGAGAGACCAAAAAGAGACCAAAAAGAGACAAGGTGCGTAATGCAGCAATACACAACTGGGCCTTTGTGCTGTTGACTCCAGATGGTACACAGGCTGTGAAAAAAAACAACATAATTCTGATGCCGTAATCTCCAGCGATGGTAATCGATGTTCTAAAAGATGCGAAATTTGTGAAGCGACTGACAAAAAGGAATAACCATCAGTGGTCGTGGTCTATCCACTGCTGGATGAAGATTTCCCTACACCGTCACTATAATCCATCTCATTCATGCAAGAGCTAATCTCATCCCTCCGTCTCTGTGGTAATCAGCCTCTTGGACGTATTGCTTCTTTGGCTGTCATTCCATTACCCAAGTTCACTTTAGCTGTTAAGGGTCAATGTAATATAACAAACTTGTATTTGTTCTAAGATTAATGTGTTTATCTCTCTGTGTCTCAGTATAATTCCACATCTGCACCTCTCCTCCAAGCTCTCAGCTTTTGTACCACTTTCTTTGCTACCGTAAATGCTTCTGAGCAACATCATTGCAGGTAACATGTAGTGAATAAAACATCTTTCTTCTTAAAACACACTAGTAAGTTAATTTTCATTTTCCGATTCGGCTTTACAAAAAGGATGCCATCCTGCTCTTGTTTGCATTTTAGTTAACATTTTGATCCTGATCTGCCTTCAATAGCTACTTTGATCAGAATTCAGGTACTCAGCGGTGACCGCCGGACCCACGCATTCAACGAGTTACAACGCCCGCTACTTCGTTAACAGGAAAAGTAACTTTGCACGGGAATGAAAGAAGCACCAAGTGATGCTTTTTTATGTGTGGCAGCGAGTCGTGACGCACCATGCCATTGGTCTTGTGGTAGTAGCTGAGCACCGGGAATCGGCCGTTCTGCCGGAAGGCAGAGACCTTCTTGACCATCTCGTCGTCGATGGCCTTGGGGATGATGACAACCGGTGGGTAGGACGGACACACCGTGAAGTCCTTATTCACGTGACTCAGGCGCCAGTCGGCCGTCTGTGGATCACATGAAAGTTTTTTTTTTAACGTTTAGAGTGAATTTGCAAGGTCTGAATACAGACGCGCACGCAAGCCTATTACATATTTGATTAAAACTTTTTTTGCCAATTTTGATGTGATGGATTGTGACCGAGGTAAATTCTAACATTTTTCAAGAACTATATATATACAAAAAATGGCATATAGGCACGTTTATGCTTATGGATATATAAAACAATGTTTTAACTGGGTTCCCAACATATATCTGAGGCTCATTGATTTGACTCGGGAGAGGGTCAGCCTAAAGTTCTATATCGCTTTAAGTCTTGAACACCTCATGTTTAGATCTGGCCTAGGGAGAAGAGATGGGATAAAGTATTATCAGGTGTGCGATTGAAACTGAAACTTTTTTTATATTTTACCAGATAAGGCCTAATGAGCTATACAGCTCTTTTTCAGAAGTGACCTGACCACAAATGATAGCTCAACGAAGTAGCTAATCATGTGGAAATGTATAGCAGCCAAATACCATAAACACATCTTTCTAAATGTGAAGGGTAAAACCCGAGGACTCGGGAGGAAAATAAACGCGACCAACGGGGAGAACACAGAAACTCCAAATATATACGGGGCGTCAGGGTCTGGTATCAAACCCACGGCCTCATGTATACCAGGCGAGGTAGTTAACATCTCGCCACCGTGGAGCGTCTCCAGCGAGGAAACGTGGAGCTCACGTGCGAGGTGAGGCGCGTAAACTCGTGCTCGGGCAGAAAGGAGTGCCAGCCGTCCTCCAACGCCTCGAACATAGGCCGGTAGAAGAAGGGGTAGTACAGGTTGACAGCCGTCAGCGTAGAGAGCACCTGCACGCAAGTTACAACCAAACACTTGGCCATTTATTAAAAAGCACAGCAAGCAGAGCAAAAGTTAAACATGTGTCGATTTTTCACTGTACTCAGCGACTATTATTGCTGAATGAAGGCATCCATACTCCACCACCATCATTCACTGTTTCCTAATGCACCAAACCAACTAGTTTCCATACACGAGCTGATTCCATTGCTATCTCCATGGCAGGCGTCCATTTGGGTGTGTTCTTCAATGCTTATTGGTGTACTTTTGTAGCTTTTGTTCCTTTTTCTTTGTCAATGGCTATGTTTCTGATCCCTACAGTGAGGGAAAAAAGTCTTTGATCCCCTGCTGATTTTGTACATTTGCCCACTGACAAAGAAATGATCAGTCTATAATTTTAATGGTAGGTTTATTTGAACAATGAGAGACAGAATAACAACAACAAAATCCAGAAAAACGCATGTCAAAAATGTTATAAATTGACTTGCATTTTTACGAGGGAAATAAGTATTTGACCCCTCTGCAAAACATGACTTAGTACTTGGTGCCAAAATCCTTGTTGGCAATCACAGAGGTCAGACGTTTCTTGTAGTTGGCCACCAGGTTTGCACACATCTCAGGAGGGATTTTGTCCCACTCCTCTTTGCAGATCTTCTCCAAGTCATTAGGGTTTCGAGGCTGACGTTTGGCAACTCGAACCTTCAGCTCCCTCCACAGATTTTCTATGGGATTAAGGTCTGTAGACTGGCTAGGCCACTCCAGGATCTTAATGTGCTTCTTCTTGAGCCACTCCTTTGTTGCCTTGGCCGTGTGTTTTGAGTCATTGTCATGCTGGAATACCCATCCACGACCCATTTTCAATGCTCTGGCTGAGGGAAGGAGGTTCTCACCCAAGATTTGACGGTACATGGCCCCGTCCATCGTCCCTTTGATGCGGTGAAGTTGTCCTGTCCCCTTAGCAGAAAAACACCCCCAAAGCATAATGTTTCGACCTCCATGTTTGACGGTGGGGATGGTGTTCTTGGGGTCATAGGCAGCATTCCTCCTCCACCAAACACGGTGAGTTAAGTTGATGCCAAAGAGCTCCATTTTGGTCTCATCTGACCACAACACTTTCACCCAGTTGTCCTCTGAATCATTCAGATGTTCATTGGCAAAACTTCAGACGGGCATGTATATGTGCTTTCTTGAGCAGGAAGACCTTGCGGGCGCTGCAGGATTTCAGTCCTTCACGGCGTAGTGTGTTACCAATTGTTTTATTGGTGACTATGGTCCCAGCTGCCTTGAGATCATTGACAAGATCCTCCCGTGTAGTTCTGGGCTGATTCCTCACCGTTCTCATGATTATTGCAACTCCACGAGGTGAGATTTTGCATGGAGCCCCAGGCCGAGGGAGATTGACAGTTCTTTTGTGTTTCTTCCATTTGCGAATAATCGCACCACCTGTTGTCACCTTCTCACCAAGCTGCTTGGCAATGGTCTTGTAGCCCATTCCAGCCTTGTGTAGGTCTACAATCTTGTCCCTGACATCCTTGGAGAGCTCTTTGGTCTTGGCCATGGTAGAGAGTTTGGAATCTGATTGAATGATTGCTTCTGTGGACAGGTGTCTTTTATACAGGTAACAAGCTGAGATTAGGAGCACTCCCTTTTAGAGTGTGCTCGTAATCTCAGCTTGTTACCTGTATAAAAGACACCTGGGAGCCAGAAATCTTTCTGATTGAGAGGGGGTCAAATACTTATTTCCCTCATTAAAATGCAAATAAATTTATAACATTTTTGACATGCGTTTTTCTGGATTTTGTTGTTGTTATTCTGTCTCTCATTGTTCAAATAAACCTACCATTAAAATAATAGACTGATCTGTGGAGGGAGCTGAAGGTTCGAGTTGCCAAACGTCAGCCTCGAAACCCTAATGACTTGGAGAAGATCTGCAAAGAGAAGTGGGACAAAGTCCCTCCTGAGATGTGTGCAAATCTGGTGGCCAACTACAAGAAACGTCTGACCTCTGTGATTGCCAACAAGGGTTTTTCCACCAAGTACTAAGTCATATTTTGCAGAGGGGTCAAATACTTATTTCTCTCATTAAAATGCAAATCAATTTATAACATTTTTGACATGCGTTTTTCTGGATTTTTTTTGTTGTTATTCTGTCTCTCACTGTTCAAATAAACCTAACATTAAAATTATAGACTGATCATTTCTTTGTCAGTGGGCAAACCTACAAAATCAGCAGGGGATCAAATACTTTTTTCCCTCACTGTATGTTATAGCAGGCACTGATGGAAAAATACTTCTTCTTTAGGCATATAAATACGCTGCATTCCTTGAACTTTAGTTTTCCAAATATAATCCAACCTGGTCTCATCCACCATTTCATCAATTCGATCCTGATTTGCCTTCAACAACTGCACCTAACTATATTTCATTGCTTTGCGAACTTGTACATGACTTTTGCTTTGCTCATTTATCTTAAGCCCCACATTGCATCTAACTTCATCAAGTTCTACTATTTATGTAGTTTTTTTCCCCTAACCATTTAGTTGTTTTTACTTTACATTGGTTGTTAAAACGGCTATATCATCAACAGATGGCGATTTTTTTGTAAACATACATTTATGCCTTCAGTTCTCCAATATAATTTTCAGAAAGCATTTTACGTAGCTGTGAATAACATTGGAAAAAATTTATCTTGTCCGAATTCTCTCCAATATGTATTTTGTTACTTTCTTCATGCAATCTCGATCTATATATATATGATAAACTTTTGTAAATTAATGTAATTGTTTCTACATTTGTTTCATTCAGTGGAAATCGATTCAGTCACTCAAGCTCTCACAAACCAAGGCCACGGTATTTGCTACATTACAAAACAGAGGAGCAGATAGCCATAACAAATACCCATCACAGCATTACTAAATAATTTATAAAATACTTTAGAAAGGGTTCAACCTTGCCACACAAATATCATGACGTTGGATTACTTCAGAAAAGTGGAAAGTTCAGTTGAATGGGAAGAGCACAATTGATGAACAACCTCGGATTTACATGAACCTAGCCAGTATAAACTCAGCTTTCAATAATTAACTAAACAAGTCAACCTAGAATAATTGAGCTTCAGGTTTTCAGTGCAGACCTCTAAGTGAATTAAAAGTGTCATATGCAATTCATATGAGCAGTGGTAGCATGCACGTGTATTCCAGAACTGTGGAGGCGATGGTTGGTGGATTACACAAATGCATTGAATCTTCCTTCCCGGAGGCATCGAGGTACCATACCCTGACTTGCCAGGAAAGGGCAGTGCAGCAAGTGGACAAACCGCCATGGGTTTCCATCTGTATGGGGATAGAGTGTTGGCCCCTTGTGTGCGTGGGTTTTTTCCGGGGGTTTCCTCCCCGTTGTATGATAAACACTCATCATTAATTGGCTGAAAACATCTTAAAATAACAAAACGCAGGACAATTCCTAAAAAAGAGTCCTATGACTCAATTTGGCTTTCATGGATAAGTAAAGTAAATGTACGAAAGTGAACAAGTGAGAGAATCTGGGCAAACTCATGCATTGCCACTAAGAAATGTAAAAGGCTATTCTTGCGTATGTGCTATCCAATCTCATGCTGCCACGGTGTAATGGTTAGCATGCTGGACGAGCAATCCAGAGGTCACCGGTTCAATCCGAACTCCTAGGGTGGTAGTTTAAAGAATGGGGCAAGTTTCTTAAATTCCCACCCACCCACTGCCACCGCTCACCCCGAAGTATGAATGGGTTCACCAGGCAGTGATTGGCAGGTCCCGTCTAGTGGGGTAAAGTGTGGGTACGCCCACATTTTACCAAATGTATTTGAAAAAGTGGCTCTCTAAAGCACGACCAAGAAATTGCAGGGCTACACCATTCTGCATTTTACCATCCCATTATGGTTCCAAGGTAAATTGATGATAAGCTTAACATGGTAATCTCTCATTAACATGCTAATTTTCACCTGGCAGCCCTTTGATTGGTGGAAAACCAACCACCGTCGGGTTAGATGCCCACCACTTGCATTAACATTGGCTGCTGACATTTGGGCTACGCCCATTTCAACCCTTGTAAATAGTTTGCCTTTGGAAGCTAACCCCCCTTTTCCTGAGACGACCGCTTGTGTTGCGTTCGAAACGTCGTAGTTTTTTGTTATTTTCTTTGAACCTATCTACGTGACTTTACCGAAAGACCCAAAGAATATGAATTCCTGCAGTCACAAAAGCTTTAAGTCAAGATTTTGGACAATTGTGTTCAGTTGAGTAGGAATAAAAAGCATGGCTTTTAATACAGCTGCTCCCTTTCTGCCATGGTGCACAGCTCACTTCAATGGAGCTGGCAATGTTGTGGCACTCTTCCATTCCTGGGATGTGCAGCAGTATGATCCGAAGGTCCTTGCACTTTATTGTCAGAGTCCCTACAGTCCCAGCAAATCTGATGAAGAGGAAATGTACCTTGGGTTAAAGGCAGCACAACAAATAATGTCAACACAGTGTTTATGCGAATTCTACTCAAACATAGGTTCATGTGAAATTTGTATTACCTAACCTAATAGCACGTTTAAGTTAAAGTGGCAATGTTAATCCGTGGGATAGTCAAATCTAGAATTTATTTCCTCCTCAAATGAACATTGAGGGAGTGCTCATTTGAGGTGGAATTTCCACTTTCCTATATTTTGGTACGTAAAATAGTAATAGACACTAGGGGAAAAATATTAATCCAATTATTTTTTTCATCTAAACAGAGGTGAAAAATATATATATATTCCTTGGGAACGTTCAACATAATGTAACCATCTATTATGTTATCAATGCTACATGTGTAAACAACCCTGAGTGGAGTGAAGCGCTGGGCGTACTGCAGTTTGATCTTAGCGACACGAGGCTTATGCCCGGAGGCAAGTCATATTTGAACCAATCTGTGCTACCCCCTGCACCAACTGGCACTCGGCAGCATGGTCAAGTATGGTCAAATATCCCCCATGGCGGACATGGTGTGGAGGAGGCATTTATGAAAAGACAGTAATTTATTATATTAATCAATATGTACAATACTGGCATGCAGAGATTGGATAGCGCTCTGCTTTATATACTTTCATACACAAGAATAGCCTTTTACATTTGTTAGTATGACAATGCACGAGTTTGCCCAGACTTTCTAATTTGTTCACTTTCGTACCTGCTTTTTTCAGTGATGTTTAATAGGTGCACATCGGAAACCCTATTGTGGTTAAAGTGGGTTGACAAATTTGGTCAGCTAATTGGGCTCATTAATTTACAGTCATATGTACATAAAACATTACTGGCATGCAGTGTGATGAGCACACTGCTCGATAAACTTGGCGATACGAGTTCAATGCCCGGCCACAGCTACTATCAGTGACGAGCAGTGTCTGATTGGGCAGTGAGCACTCTCCTTCACCGAAAATCTCTGATCAGCATAGTGAAGTCAGGTCAAATAACCTCCAAAAACGACACAATGTGGAGAGACCTTAATCTAGTTGTAGATTAGCAACGGGATGAAAAGTATTAATGTATTAACATAGAGAGAAACCAAAATAGTTGTAATCTACCCATTGCAACAATAACATCATATTTGAATATGATAATACACCGAATTTGCTGTTTTGACCAGTCATGCTTTTTTCCAAAACCTCGTTTAGTAATTAATTGGCTCATTATAGGTCAGGTTAAATTCTGAAAGTTAAAGAGTTTGCATGCAGTTTGGAATATATTTGTATACCGAGGAAGAGAAGAACTGATAATTCCCACAAAGCTAAACAGTTCAGCTCAGCACTTTAAGAATTATTGTTATTCTTAATAATACAGTATTCGAAAAAGATCTGCATAGGACCAGTCCTCTATCAACAGGGCAGCGATGTAGTAAGAATTGTTCTATAAAGTATGCAGCTGTTGGTTAACCATGAGAGTAAATCATTGCGTACTATGGAGGGTGCAAACTAACATTAAATCAAAGCATCACTGTTTGAATTTTCAAGACATGCCCATAACAGACACATTACCAACAACGTCTTTACTATGGCACATCGGATTTAACTAAAATGTAGATAGTAGTTTAAATACAGGGCGATTCATTTATAGATATCCTACTTATGTAATAGAATTAAATGAGAGAAAACGTTGCTTTCCAATTCTCTACATGTCTCTGACTCATCTCAATACCCTTATTAAAACTTTAAACATTCACTTTGTCCAACGTTGCTGGTGTGATGCAATGTGGGGCTTAAGTTTTGTTGCATGCATATGATGTTAGATGTACCCCCACAGGGTTGTGTCATGCAATAGCCACACAACTCATCCACCTTAACCAATTCAATGCAAAAATGTATCTTGTAACGGCAACCAAAACAATTCGAAATGTGTGAGATGTCTATAAATGGAACACCCTGTACATGCTGAACGCCCACCATAGCACTCCAAATGGGTTACTCTTAAGCAGAACAGAATGGGAGCGGGGATGACAGCAGCTTGAGGCCCACATGAACAAAACACTTGAGTGTCCCCGAGGTGAACACTTCCAAGCATTTTCTCACCCAACCGCATATCTTGCACTGCAAAAGTATACTAAAGGGCACAGTGTGCATGACAAAGGGTCAGAGGACGCAGAGCAGAAGAGGCAAACCTTTCCTCCTGCAGATCGGTAAACTTGACGACCTGGTTTCCACGGCTCTCAAAGCTACAATACAATCATGGAAGCAACATTTACACGCACGGAAACTTAAAATGCAAAACAGGAAGCACAACGCAAAAAAACATAACGTTCATTGAGAGTGTGATTCTGTGGTGAGGTTAGGGCACAGGGAATGTGTGGATAAGGTAAACAAGTAAGGCAGAGGGTGATACTTTACTGTGTGCGGACTTCAAGGAAACATGGAGTGGAATTAATCAAATGAGTTAGGTTTGAGACCTGAATAAATTTGGTTGAGTGCATAATCGAGGAGGCCATTGGGGCGAACAACTTATCTATGGAAGCAACAGAAGGTGGTAAATACGGGATAGGTGAGAACAGCGGGATTATGGGAGATAGACAAGGCATCAAGTATGCGAACGAACCGGCCACGTTAAGATGATCAGAATCACGGTCATGGGAAGGAGGGGATGGGGCATGGGTGAGCTTATGGGACTCGGTCAACTTCCTAGGGCAAGGGCCAGCAACCAAAATAACAATAAGAGCCATTCTGTAGCGGCTAGTTGCCAACCCCTGCTCATGGTAAACTGGACTTCCACGGTAAAAATGAACTCCCACGGTAAAAATGCACTTAAAGTGTGAACTGACTTCTCCAGTAAACTGGACTCCCACGGAAAAACTGGACTCTAATGGTAAACTGGACTCCCACAGTCAGGAGTCAGCAACTGAAATAACCCGAAAACCATTTTTTTCGAATTCGGTAAAGAAAACTAAATATTTCAAGAGCCGCAAAGCAGTCCTTAAAAGAGCTGCATGCAGGTCCAGAGTCGTATGTTGCCGACCCCCTGGTCCTAGGGGATGTGGCGCTTCTGAGCCAAATAGCATGACTATGGAATATTCACCGTGGAATATCAACAACAATAATAATATAATGTTACAATCACAATGCCAGCGTTGTTCACAATGAGGTAGTCACGAGACCATTAGGTTGGGTGGCGGATGTAGATTAGGAGTAGCATGGTTATGTGAGATACGGCAAACGAAAGAGACACATTTGAACATGTAGTACACACATACTGCTGCAATACAAAAAAATAGTCTTAAATAAACGTGAAAACAAGAGTCACGAATTCTAAGCAAAAGCCCCTTTGCACGGCAACCACAAAGACAACAAAAGGTGGCTTTTGTTGGGAACTGGGAGGTTGAGGTTGGAGAGGGCCTTCTCAAGCTCGTCCCCCTAAACTGTTGTGGCAAGCGCTGTTCGCGAGCACCTATTAAGGCCGGCACGGCGCACGAGGTGGTGGGTGGGTGGCCAGCATCACCCCCGGCCGCCTTTGTCTCCCTCGTGGCGATGTTTCCACACAGCACCAGGTACAGTACCCTCATGCGTGGCCGAGGACCGCTTCGGACAATATTGCCATCCGGTGTTTGTTGGTTACGCTAGTAGGAATCGAACTCGGGTGGCCAGGTTTCGTAGAGCGGCAATCCCACACACAACAACAACAACCGCCATTCGTCACTAAGTAGCACGTTTCGGCCACACACAACAACAACAACACACACACACCACGACACTCACCACGACACTCACCTCTTCTCCACGGCGTCGATGGACGACAGGCGCAGCCACATCTCCTCGGCGTGCTCCCGACGCGAAGACACGATGAGGTGGTGGCCGGTGAGACACAGCGTGCCCTCCAGCGGAGCGGCGCAGGGCCGCTCCAGCACCACTCCCTCCACCTTGGGCGTCTTTATAAGCTCCACGAACTCCATGGAGAGAAAGAGAGAGAGAGAAGGAGAGAGAGAGAGAGACACGCTACCCACAAACCCCCCCAACCCCTCCACCCAACAACGGCTCCTCTTCCTGTGTCCGCCTCTTCAATGGCCCGCCTCTGCCTGGCAAACCCCCACACGCGCTCGCTTTGCTGGGTCGACGAGAGAGATGGGAAGACGGCGATGGGGTGGTGGTGGGGGGGGGTCACAAGGCCACAAACACTCGGAGCGGACGGCAAGCAGGAAGAAGACGGAACGAGGAGGAGACCCCCAGCCCAACCTGTCGTGCTTGGAGCCGGTTGGGCCGCGTTCGCGTTTTTTTTTTGGGGGGGGGGGGCGGCTGGGGGCGAGGCTCGGCAGAGTTCTTCCGGAAGATGCCGCGCGCTTCGGAATACGGAAGTGACACGTGGGGGTTGGATTCCACGAGTGAATGAATGGGGGGTGGGGGTATGAATGAATGAATGCGTTGATTGACTCACCACACACTCGCCCTCTCCCCAGTCCTCTCAATGACCAGCGTGGTGAAGTGTGGTGTAAAAAATAAACATTACCAACATTGGTCTGCGGAGACAAAGCATCCTTTGGGCGTCCGTGGTAAACTGGACTCCCATGGTGAACTGGATTTAGAATGCCCGGGTGAATGGCAGATTGGGCTGATTGTATTGGTGTGAAACAAGGATTCTGTATCTGCAATGCAATAGAGTATGCATTAATGGGAAAAAAGCAGAAGCAGTTTTCTATATTGTGATGTCTTCAGGCGTCGTTATGCTCATGGAGCGGTGGCGCAGTGGTGAGCTCACTTGCAACGATCCTGGTTACATGAGTTAAATTCGCGATTAGCACGGTTGGCTAGGTATGGTGCGAAATAAGTTGAACATACATGTACGTGAAAAATGTATGGTGCTGCATCTGAATATTGAAATATTAAACTTAAATATCGATGCCATGTACTGTATTGCACTATAGCATAACGCTAGTGAGGAACTTGGTTAACAAATGCAACAGAAAAGGGTAACAATAATCTTTAGACTACGTAAACTTCCAGGAGCTTTACAAAAGATCAGAGATGACAACTAAAATGCAACGTGCTAATCTTAAAGTAAGCAATTGAACCAAGGTAGAACGTGTCATATATGACATTTTTTTTGTCAATAGATAATCGCAGCTATACATGCCGAATAAATGTACACGTGGGAAGCAACTTGAAAGTTCTGAATAGAATGTGGTAAGAAATTACTTGCAGATGAAAGTGCCGTAAATATATGAAGAGAAGTTTGTGGTGGGTGGGACACGTGTGATGGATGGAGCATGGCAGGTTGCTGAGGCAGGCAATGGAGTGGCAATCAGAGGTTGCTGACCACGGGGAGACATTAAACGTAATGGTGGTGGTGATGAGGCTTTTACAGTGATTATTTAGCTCTTGAGCCACTGGCCCAAAAAAATGCTTTTCTGATACCAACCAAATTCTCACTGACTTTTACAGAATTGTATTTCCAAATCACAAATATATAATAAGTTCACCATGGAAGCGTTTTATGGAAACAGGTCGTTGACACAGAATAGCATTGAGGGAGGGGGGAGGGGGGGGCAGTGTAACATGAAACATCTAGGAAATATGACAATAAATGTTAATTGTGTGTATAAAACAGAGAGCACATACGCTAAGCTTTCTGTCCCTGGTGAATACTGCCCATGGTGGATTTTGTCAAGCATTTGTCAAGCTCCTTGGCTCATGAGTGACTTGATGGACTTGTTGTCACCAGAGGCATAAAACTTGATTTGAGAGGCACAACTTGGTGGTGAAATACTCATAACGTAGGAGCAATGGTGAGTAGTGATGGCATAAATGGCTTTGGCGTTGTCACGCGAGCATGGCATGATAATAGATCATCCTTGTGCCAACAAAGACTATTATGCGGTTAGAGGGAGAATCACATATACTTCATTTCTCAAAGATCTGTCTATAGATTTGACCTGCAGATTTCTGTATATAAGATATGCATACTTTCTTATACTATAGATATTAAACATGAAACAATGCAGTCAGCCAAATAAAGTCCCATATATATGCAAGTCTCAATGAATTCTCAACAAAACAATTATGCTTCCGATGTGTACGCACAATCTTCAAGCAAACGTGTTCAAGAGGCCTGCAGCCCAGATTTGAGGTTGCTTATTTTTGGCTAAGTGGAACAGTGAGTGTCTCACAATGAAAAGAGTTCAAATGCTGGTTGGTGGTTGACTCATCATCCCTCTAGGGTCGATATAACAATTACCACTTTGTTGGGAGGTCAACAGTGGTTGTCCTATGGATAGACTCAGCCGCACCATAGGAATTTTGAATTTCCATCACTTTCCCAGGACAGTAACCAGGAGATGAGTAACGCCTCGATGCTCATTTGAACAGGAAATCATTGTGACATTTCTGAACCACGTTAAGGCCACATTACTGTACTTGTTCCCTCTCATGTAGAAGACACCGGTTCGTTAGAGGCTAGTGTTTAACACTTGCAGAATCTACACTTATCTGTGTATGCTCATGCCTGTAGTGATTGTGGGGTGTATTAGATGTATTTGTAATTATTAATTAATAGTTCAACAATTACGTAAATGTTATAATCATTGAATTCAAAATGAACAGCCGTGCTCAATTTACTGTTGGAAGGCCTCCCCAAACCACCGCTATCTCTCACTATTCTGTGATGCAACAATCTACCAAGGACATTATTTCTTCACTCCATTTCCTCAGTAGATGTGCTATCGGACGCGTTTCATCCCTTGGCTGCCACGCCATCGTTATTGTATGTATGTTAAACGTCTTTCGCAGCGTGAATAGCCAATCATGGAAATCGGAGGTGCATGGGGAGAACAACTAAACACAAAAAACAGTTCTAGATAAATTAGTTTTCAATCTAGATTTAAAAGTGCATAGCTCCAGTGACTTCCTAATCGGAAGGAAGAGCGTTCCAAACGACCGCAGAAGCGCACCTGAAAGCACACGTTATGGTGACCGTCTTTATTCGATGGCAAGCCCAAAGCTGCTGTGAGAATGACCACAGTTCCCGAATGTTTTATGCTCCTTGATCATAGGCCATCATCCTTTCTTGTGGTATGTCCTGCTAAGCTATTTTTTTAAATTTGATCAGATAAGGCCCACTGAGCATTTTAAGCTATTTTAAGAGGCGACCTGGCCACAAATTATAGCTCAACGAAGTGGCTCATCATGTGGAAATTGATAGCAGCCAAGTACTTTAAACGCATGATTGAAAATGTGGAGGGAGAAAAGGCGGAGGACCACATGGAGAGAGAGACATGCAAACTCCAAAAATACAGGCGTCAGGGTCGGGATCGAACCTACACAAGGCGAGGTAGTTAACATCTAGCCACCGTGGCGCCCTATATGATGTGTCTAACTTGTATTTGTTCTTTGATATACGCCTTCCTCTTTCTATGTACTGTACTTCCAAGCTTGCATCTCACCGTGCTTTTTTGCATATGTTTTCAGTTTCATTTATTAGGTATAACCCTGTGAGCCATGCGGCTCTTGACTCGGGTGCAACCGCAACAAAACAAAAACACGAACAAGAAACATCTTAAAGTGACTACGCGCAACAGAAAAATCCTGGAAAAAACAGCAAAGTCTTCCAGAAAAAAATACCGTATATCAACGCTGTGTGCAAAAATCCCAGTGGGAGGAAAGTCAAACAATAACAACCATACGACAATGTAGATTCAGTTTCAGTTTCATTCATTTGGTATAGCCCTGTGAACCATTCGGCTCTTGAATCGGGTGCAACCGCAACAAAACAAAAACATGAACAAGAAAACATTTTAAAGTGACTACGCGCTAACAGAAAAATACAGGAAAAAACAGCAAAAACTTCCAGAAAAAGCAACGCTAACTCTGTACTTCAACAAACAAACATGGCTAAACCAAAACGTTTTCAAAATCACCAAAATAAAGCTATAAAAACAATGTAACAGTGATCATAACAATAAACGATATACATAGTTTTAATAGTACGGATAACTTCTCTCCGTCAGTTTCCTTGTTTCTGAACCACATGTCAAAGCAGGAAAGTTATGCACTGAGCAAAATACTTTCTTCATAAGCCAGCGGTTAGCTCAACTTTCCCCGTTCGCTGGACGTGCACAAAAGAAGGCTGTGGTTGGGTTGTCATGGGGAGGTTTTCGGGTCTATGCGATCGGAGAGCAGCAGAGGGCAGTGCACACAAAACAATTGCACTTGCGCGTCTCCTCAAATTAGAATAGTTTACACTGGAGGAATCCGATAAGCTACAAAGCGCTTTTTGTCCCCACCACAGACGTCCAGTAGTTTTGTGACAGACGTCCAATAATCCGCGCGAGCCGATCCACTGCTGGACGAGGCCCTCATCCAGCAGTGGATTGGACAAAAAGGGGGCATTTTGAATTAAAGCTTTCGCGACTGCAGGGATTCATATTCTTGGTTCTTTCGGTAAAGTCACGTAGAATTTTATTGTTTTGTATTTTTATTATTTTATTGTTTCCCTTCTATAGTGAGGGAAAAAAGTATTTGATCCCCTCCTGATTTTGTACGTTTGCCCACTGACAAAGAAATTATCACTCATTGGTTTTTAAATAAATTATCAGTCTATAACTTTAATGGTAGGTTTATTTGAACAGTGGGAGACAGAATAACAAGAACATCCAGAAAAACGCACGTCAAAAATGTTATCAATTGATTTGCATTTAATGAGGGAAATAAGTATTTTACCCCCTCTCAATAAGAACGATTTCTGGCTCCCAGGTATCTTTTATACAGGTAACGAGCTGAGATTAGGAGCCCACTCTTAAAGGGAGTGCTCCTAATCTCAACTTGTTACCTGAATAAAAGACACCTGTCCACAGAAGCAATCAATCAATCAGATTCCAAACTCTCCACCATGGCCAAGACCAAAGAGCTCTCCAAGGATGTCAGGGACAAGATTGTAGACCTACAGAAGGCTGGAATGGGCTACAAAATCATTGCCAAGCAGCTTGGTGAGAAGGTGACAACAGTTGGTGCGATTATTCGCAAATGGAAGAAACACAAAAGAACTGTCAATCTCCCTCGGCCTGGGGCTCCATGCAAGATCTCACCTCGTGGAGTTGCAATGATCATGAGAACGGTGAGGAATCAGCCCAGAACTACACGGGAGGATCTTGTCAATGATCTGAAGGCAGCTGGGACCATAGTCACTAAGAAAACAATTGGTAACACACTACGCCGTGAAGGACTGAAATCCTGCAGCGCCCGCAAGGTCCCCCTGCTCAAGAAAGCACATATACATGCCCGTCTGAAGTTTGCCAATGAACATCTGAATGATTCAGAGGACAAATGGGTGAAAGTGTTGTGGTCAGATGTAGCTCTTTGGCATCAACTCAACTCGCCGTGTTTGGAGGAGGAGGAATGCTGCCTATGACCACAAGAACACCATCCCCACCGTCAAACATGGAGGTGGAAACATTATGCTTTGGGGGTGTTTTTCTGCTAAGGGGACAGGACAACTTCGCCGCATCAAAGGGACGATGGACGGGGCCATGTACCGTCAAATCTTGGGTGAGAACCTCCTTCCCTCAGCCAGGGCATTGAAAATGGGTCGTGGATGGGTATTCCAGCATGACAATGATCCAAAATACACGACCAAGGCAACAAAGGAGTGGCTCAAGAAGAAGCACATTAAGATCTTGGAGTGGCCTAGCCAGTCTCCAGACCTTAATCCCATAGAAAATCTGTGGAGAGAGCTGAAGGTTCGAGTTGCCAAACGTCAGCCTCGAAACCTTAATGACTTGGAGAAGATCTGCAAAAAAATCCCTCCTGAGATGTGTGCAAACCTGGTGGCCAACTACAAGAAACGTCTGACCTCTGTGATTGCCAACAAGGGTTTTTCCACCAAGTACTAAGTCATATTTTGCAGAGGGGTCAAATACTTATTTCCCTCATTAAAATGCAAATCAATTTATAACATTTTTGACATGCGTTTTTCTATATTTTGTTGTTGTTATTCTCTCTCACTGTTCAAATAAACCTACAATTAAAATTATAGATTGATCATTTCTTTGTCAGTGGGCAAACGTACAAAACCAGCAGGGGATCAAATACTTTTTTCCCTTACTGTACGTGACTTTACCGAAAGAACCAAGAATATAAAAAGGGGGTAGTTTAACAGGGGCAGCCCTGCCACAAAAGGGGGCCCTGCCACAAAAGGGGGCAGCCCTGCCACAAAAGTTTCAGTTTATTTTTTTTGGTATAGCCCTGTGAGCCATTCGGCTCTTGAATCGCGTGCAACCGCAACAAACAAAAAAGAACAAAAACACGAACAAGAAAACATCTTAAAGTAACTATGTGACTGTGCAAACAGAAAATCCATGACAAAAAAACAGCAAAATATTCCTGAAAAAAGCACCGTACACCAACGCTGTGTGCAAAAAATCCCAGTGGGATGCAAGTCAAACAGCAACCACAAGAAAACTGAGATTAAGGCCGTCAGTCTAACTCCGTACTACAACAAAACAAACATGTCCAAACCAAAAAACTTTTCGAAATCACCAAAAATAAAGCCATAATTGCAACGTTAACAGTGATCATAGGGACGGTGACCAAATTTTTACAAAAAACTACATAAATAACATGTAACACCAAATCCTAGAGCCATAGCTGCCTGCATGAGTTACTCCACAACAACAGAAGCATCAGTCGGAGTATCAAATTTTTCAATGCACCTTTAAGATCAGCACGCTAAATAAAAATACAGATAATACTTTGCAGCGTCATCCAGAGCGAAACATTTTATTTTATTTTACGCCAATGAATAGCAGTGGCAGCTAGGGGTGTACAACTCCTCTAGAGCAGTTTTGAGAGAAGATCTAATTGGTAGCGATTCAAGTTGCAGTTTATTGGCAATATCATTCCAGACCCTGGGGGCATTAATAGCAAAGGCCCTTCCTCCAGTTTTTGTACGGCAATAGGGAATGTGAAGTTGGTAAATGAGCGAAGACCTGAGGTCAAATTTGTTCTTTGAAACAGAGAGGAAATCCAGCAGGTAGTCTGCGGGTTTTTTTGTAAGTACATCGTGAATAAATAAGATCTGGTGCACAAGCCGTCGAACATTAAGAGATGTTAAGTTTGACCCAATGTAGAGATCACAGTGGTGAGTCCTATATGGGCAGTTCAATGTTAATCTTAAGGCCGAGTGATAGATGGAATCAAGCTTCTTCAGTACAGTACTTGGGGCTGATTTATACACGATGTCACAGTAGTCAAGTAGAGGCAGTATGGTAGCTTTTATCAATTCCAAACGGAACATTGGGGGGAAGCAGTGCTTGTGTCGATACAGAAAACCAATTTTTATTTTGTCTGTTTACCAATATAATCAATGTGATTTTCAAAATTCAGTTTTGAATCCAGGATGACCCAAAGATACTTATAGATCTTGACTTGTTCTATTTGATCATTATTTAAGGAATGTAATTGGGGAAAAATAACGTCCTGCTTTAGTCCTGGTGAGAAGCATAGCACTTTGGTTTTGGAGGTATTCAGGACAAGTTTAAGAGCAACAGTAATCAGTATTTGTGGCAGCCCTGCCACAAAAGGGGGCAGCCCTGCCACAATGACCCCCCCGCCCCACCTACGTGAAACACCTTTGTTGCGTGACGTCACCGCCTATCGTGTCAAAGGGGCCGGCACTGGTAAAATTCGCGAGAAAATGACGTCATCGCCCATCGCTTCAAGTTGCGATGTCATTCGACCGTGGGTGACGTCATGTGTGCGAGGAGGGGTTGGCGGGGGAGGATTACGTCATCCGTGGCAGGGGGATTGCGTCATCTCGAATGCGCGTGCACTGAAGGGGAATGAACAGTCGTGAGCAGAAGGAACTCGTAAGCCGGTTTGGTTCTCGTATAATTTCTCATTAGCCGTGTTAATGTCCGAGTTGATGGTTTTTTGTTTTAAATTGTTGTGCATTTTATGTTCATGTGCATGCGTAGAGTGCGTGCAAGCTTTCGTGCGGGATCTCTGTGTCCGTTTGCGATTTTCCTTTCCCGCTTCTCTGTGGTGATTTTTTTTGACGTCGCGTTGACCTGAGCTCTTTTTTTTCGTATTTCCCTCCGTGTGTGGCAAATGTACGGTCCGCGGTTTAAAATTGTTATAATTATTGCTTTTGTTCGTGAGGTGAAAAAAAAATGGGATTAACCCGTTTTTCTGAAGGAAAATTTATGATTTCGTGTATCATGCGCTGAATTGGTACTGTATATTGTGTGTGTGTATAATTGTGGCAGTGGTTGGTAATGTAATGACGAATGCATCCTTTGCGTCTTGGTTATGGTTTTGGTGATGGTTTTGGTGATGAGAATGGATCTGGTGGAAGTGATGGTAGTGGTAATAATCTTTGGTGGTGATGGTTGTGATGGTGATGTTGGTGATTATGGGTGTGACTGTTTTGCTGCTGATGAATGTGATGGGAATTCTGTACTGTCATGCTCATGATCTAGGTGATGGTGATGAGGATTGTAGTGGTGATGGTAGTGATGGTTTTGCTGATGATTTTGGTGAAGATGGATGCGATGGTAATGATCGAAGCGGTAATGATTTGGGTGATGGTCATGATTGTGGTGATGGATGTGATGGTGATGCTGGTGATGGCAGTAATTTTTTTTGTCAGGATGAATGGCGATGTTGGTAGTGGAAATAATTTAGGTAAATTATCTACGTTGGTGATGATGATTAGTGTGATGATGGTGATTATGGTAATGGTGATAGCGTCATTTATTAAGTAGTGAACAGGATGGATGTGATTGTGACGATGGTAGTAAACATGATCTGCTATTGGTGATGGTGATGATGGGTGGTGGTGATGATGATAGTGGTAATGGTAATTGGCATAACAGATGCGATGTTAATGACTGTAATGGTAAAGACGTAAGTGATGGTGATGATTTTGGGCCTGGAAATAGTTAATGGGATAAGTCAGAGTGTAATGGTAGTTATCTTGGTGGCGATTATGATGGTGTGATTGGAATGATAAAAATCGATGTCCTATTGCGGTGATGTTGATTGATGTGGTGGTAATGATTTCACAGTGCTAGTGATTTTTGTTGTGATACTGTTTGCGATGAAGATGGTGGTGATGGTTGTAATCGTGAAGATAATGATCTATTATAATAGTAATAGTCTAAGGGACGATGATGGTGTTGGTGATCGTATTGGTTAATCTTGATTATGGCTGTGTTGACAGTAGCGTTGATGATGATAACCGTGATAATAAAGTTGACGGTGGTGAAGGGTGATGATGGTGCTTATGAGGTTGTGGCATTGGCAAGTTGTAGCACTTTTTCCGCTTGTTGCAGACGTTTGTGGTTCAGGCCTGGTTGCCACCCTGGATAACCCTGCATGTGTAATGACCATACATTTTAAAAAATAACCATCCTGTCTGCTTTAAAGTGACCATTAAAGAGCCCATAACATTACTCGAAAAATATCGGGACATGGTGCATGCTCCACATTTATCAAATTTGATTTAAAAAAAAAACACTCGAAAATGACTTAATTTGGAGATCACATAGTAACATTGCCCCCTCCTGGCAGCTAAGGTCTTGCTGACCAGTGCTGCATTCACCATGTGCCTCACCAGGGGTCCCTTGCCACAGGGCATCCTGAGATGTACTGCATGGCAACTGCAATATAAATATTAAGTGATGTTGATGTTAACACATTTTGTCTGTCCACAGTTCTCTTCAACATCGGCCACTTACGCTGCTTCTCACCAGGAACCAGAAGCAGAAGAAACACCAGCACCGTACCACCTCCAGTTTTTTTTTAAATAGTATTAAAAAGAAACAAAAAAAATGTGAGTGGTGGGTGTGAAGAGAATATGAGCAAAGAAGTCTGTGGCGAGCCATGGCGGCAGAGAGCTGGACTGGGCAGCAGCAAGGGCAGCAGAAGAAGCAACAACAACAACAACAGCAGCAGTCTCAAGGACAACAGTGGCCCGTGCAGCAGAAAAAGCTTGTGGAAGGAGGCCAGGTGTTGAGCAGGCTGCAGCAGCAGCAACAACAACAGCAGCAGCAGAGAAAGCAGCACTTTCAAGGGCAGCAGTGGTCTGCTCAGCAGAAACTGGTGGAAGGTGGGCAGGTGCTGAGCAGACTGCTACAGAATCAGCAGCAAGGGCAGCAGCAGAGGGCGGGCAGCGTGAGCGTGAGCGCCGAGGGCCGGAGTTCGCTGGCCGTGTGCCGCTGCACAGACTCGCTGTCGTGCTACTGCGGCTGGCGATCGCACTGTTGCCGCCGCTGCTGGGAGCGGCTTGGCCGCTGCAATGTCGCCGCACCAGACTACGCCTGGGTGGCGGGGGCCCTGGCCGTGCTCCTCTGGGACGTGGGGACGGACGTGATGCTGGCACTGAGCTACCTGGGCCGCGGTGAGCGTGCCCTGTTTGCGTTCACGCTCGCCTTCGTGCTCGGGCCCTCTCTCGCCGTGCAGGCCCTCAGCTTCCGCTGGTTTGCCAGAGACTTTGGAGCCCGAGGCCGGGCAGCTGTGGCTTCTGCTTCCGCCCTGTCATCGTCTTCGGTTTCGGCCACGGCGGTTTCTGCAGCCTCGGCGACTTCGGCTCTGCGCCCGTGCTGCCGGGCCGGCGTGTGGGCCTGGCAGGGCCTCGTCCACGCTCTGCAACTCGGACAAGCTTGGAGGTGAGGTGTGAGATGTGTGGAGAGGATGTTGATGGTGGGGTGTAGGTGATGGTTGTGGTAAGTGAGGTGTATCTTACATCCTATCTTTCTTTATTGTCTATCTTTGTTGTAAAATTGATAAGGCATGGCTAGGTGCCCTCTAGCCCGGTAAGGCGTGACAAAGCTGTACTGAGATGGGCGAATGCCTCATGTGAGATGACTCCGTACCAAAGTTTTCATCAAATTAAAGTGAAGTATTTAGCTACTTTGTGCCTTATGTTTGCCTTGAGTAAGTGAATGTAGAATTTCATCGCCATACAAAACTGGGACATTCATCTTGGGAAACAAGGTGTATATATTTATGGTTTATAGGTATTGCTTTTAAATAAATGAGGCCCTTCATCGACTGAGGGGATGAAGTTGTTGAGCATGGACCTAAAACTACAAATGGCAGGTGGAGGGGAGAGTTCCAAACGATGGGAACAAGATAGAACAAGACATTTCCCGCTTAGAAAAGGTTACCTAGGGCATTGGTTGCTGAGAAGTGGAGAGGTGATCTGGGGCAAGTACTTGGAGGATTGTGATTATTCTGAGATCTTGTAGTTGATCCTCGATTGGAGCGTTGTGTGTAATTACTGCCCATAGCGGCCAGAGGAGAGAATGGACCCATAAAAAAGCACGGTAGAAAGCAAATTTAGTAAAATTTGAAGTCCAGTGTCCAGCTTGTCCGTTCCCTATGGGCAGGAATTCCACAAAACTCCCCCTCTGCCCCCCCCCCCTCTCTATTTAAGGCCTCGACACAGAGATGTTGTCTTTCTGTGTGCCTATGTGTGTGTCTCTCTCTATTTGTCTCTGTGTGAGTCTCTCTCTCTCTGCTTGTGTGTCTGTCTGTGTGTCTCCGTGCCTATGTTTTGTCTCTCTCTCAAATTTAGCAATCTTTGGAAGAACGTAATCAATCAGGTGTGGTGTTGACTGTTTTGTTGGCCGACTCTCTGTGTTGTATTGCATTATATTTCCAAGTTTACTATGTTTTCTCATTCATTTGTACCTTGTGATAATTGCTTGTGTTGCAATCGAAACGTCGTATTCTATTATTTAATTTTATTTCCACGTGACTTTACCGAAAGAACCAAAGAGTAATTCCTGCAGTCACGACAGCTTCTAATCTAGTTTCATTTTAGGGGTGTTAATGTAGCATTCATACAGTGCCGGTGAGGGGTCTAGCAGCAGCCTTTTGGATCATATAAAGTTTGTACATGCGGAATTTTGGGAGGCCGTAGAGGAGAGAGTTGCAGGAGTCTAGTCAAGATATGAATCGAGGCATGGATCAGGGTTTTAACAGCAGGTGTTGCAGGTGCTGCGAGAAAGGTGCAGATGTGGGATATGTTGTATAGGAGGAGGTAGAAGGTCCTTCAGAGTTGAAATATGTGGGAGGAGAGCTCCGGATTAATGACAACCCCAAGGTTACTTACAGTTTTTGACAGTGTAATGTCACAGTTTAGGAGGTGCAAGCCCAAACTTTTTGCTGATGTGGAAAACTTTTGCGGGAAAAAAAGTTGGGACCAATCCACAATGAGGTTGCATCAAGGCACGATTTGAGATTGGCTATGGAAATCGAGGCAAATTAGGAGTGAAAGCGATACATTATCTTCAGAATATGGTAATTTACCAAATGCCGAAGAATGGTTTCAGTGGAGTGGCCTGGATCATGCAGCAAAAGGAGGGAGAGGTGTTTAGAGAGGTTGGAGAAGATTGCATTTTTTTGGACTTTTCTAAGGAGAGAGATGTTTGAGATCCAACGATATTAGGGTCCAGTGTAGTGTTTTTTCATGATGGGGTTAACAACAGCTGTCTTGAGGGCAAGGAGAACAATTTGACCTGTGTAATTCAAAGTGGCTCAGATGGATTTAGATGAATACTCAGCACGCGTGTTTAAATCAACAGTAATGAGTGGAGATGAGAAGAAACCCCAGACGGAGGTCCGATATTAAAAGAGTCTGATTAGAAGTTTGGGTTTGCCTTTGGTGAATGGTCGACAGTAGGGTGTTTGAGGTTGGTGTTGGGTGGGAGTTGGATACTCAGAAGAGGGGAACTTTGCGCCTTTACCGTTTACCTGGATAACCCCTTGAGATGGAACATCTTGTTTGCAATGTTGTCCAGTGTAGAGATTACAGGAATTCCATCACCTCTGCTGGAGGAGCGAGCCATAGCAGGTGGGTTCAGTAAGTCTCCATGAAAACAGAGGTTGCCAGTCATAACCCTTGCAGGTAATCGTGGATGAGTACTGACTCAGAATTGAATGAGCTGACATTTAGGAGGGTAAAACAAACAGATGGATGGGGGTGTTTTGAGGGGAAGGCCTTAAGGTTAGGTTCCTGGGGAAAACTGAATTGCGAGCAATTGAATGTGCAGATGGATTAGACGTGTGTGGGTGCTTGTGATTATTAATGTGGGTGCTTGTGACTAGTGAGGCTTAGAGATATCATCGGAATCATCGGACACACCTTGCTGGACATGGATTGCGGGGGGTGGGGGGGTTCCACCTTTGCGAAAACAGACTTGATCACTTGTCTGGTCTGTCAACGAGCGTGCCATTTCTGGAGTTAGTAGCACCAACAATACTGATCTGAGTACCCCCCCTCTCTAAAACCATCTTACATAACATCTTATGATGGAAATTTCGTGTTTGACAGTTGATATCATTGTGTGCCCCAGGAAGTAGTGTATTTTTGTGCTGAATCCATGACTCGTTTCACATTCCAAGTTTATCGCCTCAACAGCTTAATAAGGTGGATTTCACCACATTAACATTATGCAGCAATACACTTTTCTACCTGTGTGTATGAAATTGAGTGAAAACCAAACCACGGTAATCTATGGGATAAAATATACTGTATGTGACATTTTTTTATCAGCAGAAATGCTTATAGTAGTGAATATCCCAGTCTCTATATTCGGAAGCAATGTATTATTCCAGTGTCAAGGTCATGAGCTAGTTTCTCACACTAAACAGCCCCGCATTTACATGTTCTTCCTAAACAGTTTAACATTTTACCGCATGATTTAAACCAGATGATCTGCTTCAATGGGTGGCTTAATAACTGGTAAATGTGTTTCTCTGGACCAATAGAATCGAAAATACATCTTCCATATATTTTTTCATGAGAAGATGTTGATAAAATGGTCTCTTCAGGAGCATATGCAAGCATTTCTTTTTTACAATTTACAGATGTTTGGAGGTGATTGCAATGTGGTCGTGTAGACTGTGTAACCCGCAAGGCCTTGAAGTGACTCAGTGCTGTAAGTCTTTCATGCGAGGTCCACAATAATACAAATTATGGAGTACCCAAAGTTGACCCATAAAGTAACACATTTGCTTAATCACAAACGTATTTTAAGTTGTAATATTAAAGTATCATATATTTCAAGTGATGCATTCATATTTTTAATAGTGAACAGAGCACAAGTGTTTATAAAAAAAAATTATCTTTAAAAAAATTGTTGCAATGTCCTTTGTGAACTTTAAGGCATTTGAGGGGCGTGAAAGTAAATGGGCTGTATGCATTCATGTCATTAAAGGTTCTCAGACAGCCCTGTCCTTCGCGACAATTAGGGCTTAACCAGAATAAATTAACGTGGCGGTCCAGGTAGCTTCAAGTCGGCAATAATGCCCAATCATTCCTGTATCTTTAACAAAAAGTAAGGCATATAAATATACCAGTGTCTTTTATTATTTCAACTTTGCTAAATAAGTGGTGTTGCGTGTACGTTATCGGTCTTGGGCTTTTAAACTGCATCCACTTTGTTCTTCTCAGCGTGGGGAAATGTTTCTTAAAACTGATAAATGCATTATTAATGGTTTCTTGGAAAAGCAGTGCATTTATGATGAGAATGCAGCACAGTGTTAATGCATGAAGCCTTTAGCAGAGGAGTTTTTTGCGGAGGGCATATACCGCTGGGCAGGGCATGCTGTGCACAATGCAAGTTCACGAAAACAGATTGTTCTGTTCAATGTGTTCTGTCCTTTAGTGTGTGCGGGAGGGGGGAGAGTGAGGAGGAATACATTGTTCAGCGCACTACATCCAGTACTTTGGAGAGAATGAGAAAATGAAAAAAGGCATTGTTCTGTACAACATGTCCAGGAACATGTAGTTGAGAAGTCCCTTGGTGCCCATTTAACTTTCACTTATTTTTTTTCATATAACAATCAAAAAAGGATTTCCTATTCCTCATTAGGTATTCATGTGGGGTGTTTTCTCTTTTTTTTTTCACCATTTTCATAGCAGGACGCACATTATTGCTCATGCAGTATGTGCCGTAGGTGAATTTAAAGGCAGTCATGTTCACGTCCATTTTCTGTTTTCTCCATTATTTTGGCCTGAGTCTTTTACATGGTTTTGACCACGTTACTTGATTGTTGTAATTGAGCGTATTGCTTGAGTAATGTCCAGAGCATAAAATGAGTTTAGCATGAGAGCACATCTAATCCGTATGCGTGTACTGTATGTTTGCCATGTGAACTTCTCGTACACCGCACCAACAATCGCAATGAAATGAGGTATCATTTGAAAGCCTTTGATATGTGCTTCATGCCAAATTACGAAATAAGTACCTTTTTTCCAAGAATTTGGCGAATTCGGCTCATTGACCCGGTGCTGCTTATCCAATCGTATCCACTCTTTCGTTTACAGTAGCCTGGCACGTGATGCCAACCCTCTTGTACAGTAATATAACGGACAGGCATGTGCCATGGTAGGTGTGCGGGGGGGTATGGGGAAATTGACCTCAGCAGGCTTCCTGCGAGTTGATTTACATGGCCACACTTTTAAATGTCTAAATTATGTATGTTTTAAAACTTACATTTGGTAATTTCATTTAGTAAATCTCATATACTCTTTCATTCCTAAAATTATGTTAACCATCATGTAGCTAACGATTTGCAAAGATGATATTTGAAATAATTGGAACGGTGTTACTCTACTTGAAAATATGAGATTATCACCTAATCATACGGAACAGAA